CCAATCTACTTTCTTCCTTTGAATGGTGGTGGTATCTATGTTCGTGATTCCGACGTAAACGTGTTATCATTTTTTAAATTTGTTGGTGAGTTTCCTATTCACGTAGTGTCTATGCTATGTCTGAAATCAAGAGGTATCATTTCACTGTCTTTTAAACAAATCGTTTACGGACTTTTAATTTTGGGACTTTTCTTTTGGCAAATGGAAACAATCTTGTTTCCTGGAACTTTTTTCGATAATAGGAGCGATTCATTCATGGTTCGTTAGTATTTTGATTTCATGAAAGGTTTTACGATTTTTCATGATGCTCTATATCCACGATCCAAATGAATGAAGGGGATTGAGTATAAATTACAAATAGTTATATGGTGTCTCCATCGACAAATGTGGGATCCGAGTATAGCAGATTCATAGAGAATGGACGAATCAATGCAAGAGAAAATATTGAGTATCATCAATAATATTAGACTACTATGAAATTTCATCCAAAAGATGATAATCAAGAACATTGATCTCATTATTTTGTGATATTTTCTCGAGAAGAAAATAAACTGATTTAATTACCAAACATATTGGTGAGTAAGACTTTTGTATCGAAGTATCATAAAAATTCACTTCTTCATCGTTCTTGTTTAATAATTGGTTATGTATTTATGAATGTGTATTCAGTGGCGGAGGCAGTGAAAGGTTAGGGGGTCATGTGACCCTTACAAAATTAACATATTATTTTTTTTAGTGCAATTTTGATTTAATTTGGTGAAATATTTGGTTAAAATTAGTATATGATCCCGGTAAATTTGTTTTCAAACTTCCAACTAGCCCACTAATTCATATATTTCTCCATCTATTACTGTTGTAGTATCAAATATTAGTTTTATGATATCAATTTTTTTATAATGACCCCGGTAAAATTTATTTTTAGATCCGTCACTGTGCGTATTTGCTTATTATTGATATACTATGGATGTATCAACTTTTCTATGTTATTTAAATCAATAAATGAATCAAAAAAGAAAAAAAAATGTTAGAAGAAAAGTAATAAAATGTAATTATGAAAAAAGTATTTCCCAATATCAAACATTTTCTTCTGATTGTGAACCCTTTGTAATCCAATGAATTAAAATCTTTATTGATTATTTTTGAAATCCCCCCCCCCCCCTTCGTGAGAATTTTATTGATTATTTTTGGCAATATTGAGCTTTTAATTTTATTGATTTAATAACATTAATTAAACACATAAAATATCTAGAAAATTAACTTTATGGAGC